CTCACACATCACCCACCTGCTCCAATACTCACGAATCAGGATACACCACCACCCCCGTCAGCGCACACACACACACACTCTTAAAGCAAAGTAAGATAATGATAATAATGGCAATACGAATAACAGAACTAGTAATAATAACAACTCGAATCAAGAATCACCTGCCGTCTCGATCCAAGTGTATGGTAATCCTTACCGCACGCCAATGATGAGGACTCGTATCTAAATTGCACGTACCACCGCACAGACCTTCGCAGAGTTGTAGTGTGCGTTACCTTCTATTTTGCGATCTCGTCTAACCGGAACCATTTTTTCTAGACTTGACCAACGCAACAACCAGGCCCTGACCTCCTGGAGCTCACACCCTGAAATCCTGCCGATACAACCGCGAAAGATCAAGGGAGAGTATGCCGTCAAGCGCCGCAAGACGCGGATCTTAAGAGCACCCATTGTAGGTCCGTCAGAACTTCCGGCAGACAAGGTGGAACATTTCCTTCAAACCCCGCTTGATTACCTCGCTCCCTGCCTGCAGACCCACCTTCACTCCGCAATAAAAACTTCCCTGATGACTGTTTCCTACCCTCCTGCAACGGTCAGGTGAGTCGCTACGACGCGAGAATCGTCAATCTCACTCTCTAACAACAACCTGCTCCATCTTCACCAGATCTGTTCCCCGAGAGGCTTGAGCCTCACTATGGCGGCCTCCGCGGCTGTCTTGTCGGTGTGAGTATATGTTGTCGGGTCTATTCTGATCCCGTGAACTACTTTTTAGGAATGAGATGAGTTTGAGGGGCAGCGGTACTCACTCCAGGACAGTTCTGGTCTCGTGCGTTTCGAATGAGTATTCCGCGCTCTGCAGCATTCTCTCGTGACATGTACCCACCTGGGATTGTTATAGTTCATTGTGTACTCACTCTATCTCATTCTAATGACGGTAACTTGGTGATCCGGTCGTCGTCTATTTTTGGATATACATTGTACTAATATTGCTCAGGATAGTTCGTGTGGGATCCAGTTTGCAATTCCACTGTTTTAGTGTAAGATGGGGTCTTACTGATGTAAGAGTGATGGGATTTTCATCATCAGTGATGTGGTTGATCATGAGAAATTCTCCATACCATTTGTTGCATTTTTGTGGATTGAATTACAGGAGCTGCTGTTTGAGTCTCTGTAATCGTGATGACATCTTAATGTTTTTATTTCATTTATTTTATCATGTTTCGGATTATTTTTGACAAGGGTTATGACTTCGTCGCTTCTGCAAGGAGATAGGCGAGAATGTCGTGTGGTGAAGTACAACTATTTTGATGTTGATTCTTATCCATAAACAAATACAGTGATAAAGTGCCTTCACTATACAAAATTCTGGAATTGCTAACCCAGTCGGAATTGGTTGGAGGTAGTACTTGGTTCAATAAAGGGGAGCTTCACCAGGATATTTTTTTCGTAAGGAATTCTTCGGCCGGAAGCTTTCAGTATTAACCATCATTTGCGACATAATTTGGTCAAGAGATAAGTACACAGGTGCGTGAAAAACATGTTGAACTTGGTAGGTACATAACATGAATTATTAAAAAATTAAATCACAATTACTGAAACTGGATTGATGTGCATTTTTACCGTGAAATTTACAGTTTTATTCCATTTTCTTTTAAGTGTTAGTATGTTTCTAGCATTTTATTATCAATGAGACTATATATATATATATATATATATACATACATATATTCACACAAACATTTTAGAAATATGTTATTTAATTTTTGAAAAAAACAAATCAACTGATGTAATATAATATTCTTATTTTTTGGACAAGCTGAGTGAAAAAGCTGAAATAAAGGGCTCTAAGTAGAAGTGCCATTGGGAAGCTTAATTAATGAGTATCAATATTAAGCTTTGAGAACTAATTTAGGTGGCAAGGTTATAGAACATTAAACAACAACAAAACAAAAAATTGAATATTGAAGGTTGGATAGAAATATAACTAATGTCACTTGTAGTGTTGTTAGTTTGCATTACATATACATAAATATATGAACATAGGTCCTCCTCCTAATTAATATCACCTATTGCAATATATACATATATATATATATATATATATATATATATATATAATATATAATATATATTATTAGAGGTTATGTATTATCAAAACAACATTAGATATCTAGACTCTAATTGAAGTTGGATTATAAAATTTTGATTAATTATTGATAGTTATTCACTTTTGATGATTAATTATCCAGAAAAAAAAAAAAAAAAAAAAAACACATACAATATATATCCATATATATATATCCTTTGTTTTTGTTTTTGTTTTTCTTTTTCTTGGGCTTTTATTTTATTTCATTTTATAACTTCTTTTATCATTTGACATAATTATTCTATTTTGCTATATATATATATATATATATATATATATATTTTGGGATTAATTCTATTTAAGAAATATTTATTCTTTAAATATATGTATTTCTATGTTAAAATTTTAATTTTTTGTACTTAATTGTTAGATTTAATTGATGCAAAAAATAAATAACTTTTACCTTAATCAAAAAAAGAATGATTTCATCATTTGATAATATTTTAGTCTATTTTAAATTGTTTTTGTTCCAATAAAAAAAATCAAAGAAAATCATGTCTTTTTATATTTCAAATTATACAAAAAGAAAATTTAAAATTTAAAAATAATAATAATAAATTGATAAAAATTAGTTGCAATGCCAATGACAAAACTTGGCATTAGCAACATCCAAAAAAATGTGTTATTTGATATGATTTTACAAATGTGTATATATATATATATATATTAAATGAACCATTTTTTTTAAAAGTATGTTTTAACTCCAACAAATCTCATTTTGAATTTTATTGATATTAAAGAATAAAATTTGATAAAATTTATAAACACATAAATTATACAAATATTCTATTTTAGGAATTTTAACAATCAAAATTATTTAATGCATTACTTAAATGTATGTAAGAGTGGAAGAAATGTTTTTAGATCTTTTTCATGTTATCAAAGTAGTTGCTTAGTGTACATACATACATACATCAAGTTCAACCTTGTTAATTATTTTTTTCTTCTCACATCTTCTCTAATCTTGTATTTTTTATTTTTTTAAAATCCCTCAACACAACTTTTGTTTTCTTTAATATATATATATATATATATATATATTCTTGTATTTTTTTTTGTTTTGTTTTTGTTTTTGTTTTTTTTTTAATTGTATGTCATTGTTGGTAGAAACATCTACGCAACTTATGAAACTTAAAACAAAACACAAGTACCTCAAGATAGTTTTTACAAAGGATATTTTTGTAGATATAGAACATTTTGAACCAACAAATGCAGCAAACCTGAAGCTCCAACAGAATGATGAAGAGAGAAACTTCACAAATACTCCAGCTCATAACAAAAGGAAGATATTGGAACAAATGTAATATATATATATATATATATATATATATGTGAATATGTATATATATATATATATATATATATATATATGTGAATATGTATATATATATATATATATATATAGGGAATTGCTAAAAAGACCTAAACATTTACTACATCAACCCACCCATCATCATTGTTTGAAGATCTAACCATTTTTCCATTGATTTTTCACCAACACGGAACCAATAGTGGAAATATTTTTGATGACGGTTATGTCAATTTAGTAAATACTTGGGTCACTTTAACAATTCCCTATACAAATACATTTTTATATATATAAATACATTTTCTTATCACCTCCTCCCAAATCCGATGGAAACCTAGATAGAAAAGCACGTCCTAAGGAAAGGAAAAAGGATCAGAAAGGGAATATTTCGTTCCACGAAAGCACAACAATATGCCTCCTGGAACCAACCCCCCTGCTGCTGCTTACGTGGACACCCGTAATCTGCTGATCTGGATAAATTTCCTTTCCACGCTGACACAATTCCCTCCCCTCCACGTGGCCACGCCGTCGGACGGAGTCCCCCAGATACCCCGCGTTCGGCGACGCATCCGAGTTAGTACCGACGACGACGCATCCTGATACCGCAAAGAAATATTGGCGGGTAGCGGCAGCAGCGCAGGTGGATACATACCTACAGCAGCACGATAATCAATAATCAGAGACGACGACGACGAGGAGGAGGCCAAACAAAACAAAGAAGAAGACCCAGAAGAAGAAGGAGAATTCGGCACTGTCGTGATTAGCAATATCACCAGCAGAATCATCGGAGTCATCCCGCATCGGAGAAATCCAGGATGGCATCTGTGGGAGGATCATGGATCATCGTTATACAGAAGTAGAATCTCGGGGTCAGCCTTTGAGTGTATTGTTATTTATTACAACAAGAATTTATTATCACTCCTCGCAAGTCATGACAGAAGCCGGTTCCATGAGTTTTATGAAGACGGTCCCAACATAGGCGAACTGATTGGGTGGTTTTGTCATAAATCTCGATTTTAATAAGCCCAGGCTGTTGGGTAGTGGTCTGTTTAATTGTGTGTCTGCAATGGTTTGCGGTGAGTTGAAGGTGATTTGGGTGATGGTCGCGAGACGGAAGGGGGTGAGGTGAAGGGAAGGGGCTGCGCTTGGGATCTGTTGTGTCTGGTTCGGTTTTGTTTTTTTTCTTAATTGGGAGGGAGAGTTAGGGTTGGCGAGAGGAGAATTGTAAGGAACGGTTTTGTCGAATTGGGTTACGTGTGGTAGCGGGAAATGGTGAAATTAGACTCGAAGACGTGCATCGAAGCCGCGACAGCTCATTTCTCCGGGTTGCACTTTGACGTTGAGTATCCGGCGGTGATGTATATGGGAGCGAACAAGGTCCCTTTCGTCATAGGTGAGCGGAGGAATTGCTCTTTGTTTGAGGGCGTTTTGTTTTGTTTTGTTTTGTTTTATGCTTCCAATTGACGATTCAGAAGTGGTAGCCTTCAATATGAGGTTTGAAACACGTCTGGGCTTATGAGAGCAGGTGTGGCGGGAGGTACTGCGTCGGGTAAGGCGACTGTATGTGACATGATCATTCAGCAGCTACATGATCACCGTGTTGTGCTTATCAATGAAGTAAATCTTCCCTCGTTTTGTTTGTTTGTTATGATATGTTTTACTTTTGGGTGGATTTTACGGCACTCTCCTGAAGTCCAGATGAAATCTACAGTGAATTCTCACGTACGAATTGGAGGTCAATTTGCGTCTATATGATATGAGTTTGCAGATCCTGATATGGTTCAATTTGAGGATGTATCTCTTTGACGATTACTCTTGATTCTATTGTTCTGTAACAGAGTTCTTTCTACCGAGGATTGACACCAGAAGAGAAAGCTAATGTGGGAGAATATAACTTCGATCATCCTGGTGCGCTCTTTGACCTAATCAATTTGGTGTAGCTTTCTTCGTGAATCTGGTTGTTATCAGGTTGTATCAATGAATCGGCTGGGGTAAATGAACTTCACCTGCTTCTGAAAGCTTGTGAATTATTGCAGATGCGTTTATTACGGAGCAGTTATTGGAATGCCTTAGCCATTTGAAAGCGAATGAACCCGTTCAGATTCCTGTTTACGACTTTCTAAAATATCAACGCTTCAGTGATAGGTCCCGGAAGGTACGGTATTTGCCAACTCATTTCGTTTGATCATGTAAGTTTTTCTCATTACGAACTTTATTTAACGTCCAGTGGTCTTATAACCTGGACGTGGAATGTGTTGCCTTGTGTGTAGGTGAATGCATCTGATGTGATCATTATGGAGGGCATCTTGATCTTTCATGACGCCCGTGTGCGGGAACTGATGAACATGAAGATCTTTGTAGATACAGGTCGTCTTTGTGCACTCACTTTAGTTGTTTCCACATAGTTAAAGAATTTCATATCTCAAGCTTTTGTTACCAATTAGCACACAGATGTACATCTGTATTGAACTCACTCTTAGGTCAGACTTTCTGTGCAAGGAGCTCATACTTCACTGTGCAATACAGACGCGGATGTCAGGTTAGCACGACGGATAAGGAGGGACACTATCGAGAGGGGCAGAGACGTGAATTTTGTGATTGAGCAGGTGAGGTATCAAGGATGATTTGGTTGTTTCTGAGATTAGAACCTAGCTCAAAAATCTATTGTTGATGAAACCACAACGTACGATTTCTTTTACATGAGGCCCCTTCCTGCGAAGTGATTGAGAGATCCAACTCCATATTGGTTTCTCGACACACTGGTTTGTAAAATTGTTTTAGGAAACAGGTTCTAGTTGATTTAAAATTTCACGATATTTGCATTGCGTACTTGAGTTTGAGCTGTCTTAGTGTAATTGCTGTTTGCAATCCGAGTATTGATAAACTTGGGCAACCAGATGATGTACGTTTGGACGGTGCAGGATAGCCACACATGGAATGAAAATAAGACTAACTTTCGGGCTTGTATGCAGTACGCCAAGTTTGTGAAGCCAGCATTTGATGCTTTCGTATTGCCAACTAAAAAGTATGCGGATGTAATCCTACCTCGAGGAGGAGACAATCTGATTGCTATTGATCTCATAGTCCAACATATCCGCATGAAACTTGGTCAACATGATCTTCGCAAGATATATCCAAATGTGGTTGTTGTACAGTCCACTTTTCAGGTTCGAAAAACCCATTAATAAAATAGACAATTAATTTCCGCGCCGTCCTCTTCAGCTGGTGTAGGGATTCCTGTTGAATATTGACGAGTTATAAATACTTCAGATAATACAGATTTTATTTATTTGTTTTAAGTAAGTAATTGATTATTTATTTATTTTGTATTCAATTTAAACACTTGATATTAACCTTATTTTACATTGTGTAAAAGACCTGGTACCAATGCCAGAAGTGACCTTTACATGCTGATTGTTGCAGATTCGTGGAATGCATACCCTCATTCGAGATCGAGAGACTACCAAACATGACTTTGTCTTTTATGCTGATCGACTTATTCGTTTGGTAAATTTTTCTCGTCTATTCCAATATGAATGAAGGATTGTTCACCACCTCAGTGTGCAGCTCTTGCTCTTGGACTGCGTTCGAGCACAACTCTCAAAGAAATGACAATGCGAACGTGCCTTTTATGTGCTTAGATTGTGGAGCACGGACTTGGACACTTGCCTTTCACTGAAAAGCAGGTTATCACACCGACCGGTATGATCAATAATCCATTATCAATATGTAGAAGATAATTTTTTCGAGATATGAAGGAAAGAGCGTCAGTATTTTTGAGTGTAAATATATGGCCATGTAACCCTCAGATTCAGTTGTTAGAAACGTAATCATAAATATTGCGTGAATTTTTTGGAGGTTGAAATTCTTGGTTTCATTTCAAAAGCCTTTGTCTGCAGGTTCAACATACATTGGAGTGGACTTTTGCAAGCAGCTTTGTGGAGTATCCATCATTCGCAGGTGCTTTTTCATCTTTAATACAACTGAATCGGGTAAATTGTGATTTGTCGAAGAAATATTATTGTTTTTAAATGTCAAGGAGCAGAAATATACGCCACAACGCCGTTATGGTATTACAAATGCCAGTACTTTGATCCGAATTTTCATCCCTACATTCGCTTGGAAGTTGCCTTTTGGATTTCAGTTCTGAAGTAAGGATCAATTCATTTTGTTGATACCTGTGTTCAGCGGAGAAAGCATGGAAAATGCTTTACGGGCGTGTTGCAAGGGTATCAAGATTGGAAAGATTCTCATACATCGGGAAGGGGATGATGGGAAGCAGGTACTCCTCATGTGCTTTGCTTCGCAAAGCTATTCATCTTTCTTTTCTTTCCCTCAGTTGTTATTAGGCAAGTTTGTGCTGCAAATCATGCAAAAATAAAAATAAAAACAAACAAACAAACAAACAAACAAATCCTGATCCGGATTATGTGTATCTAACGATTTCGAGAAACTTGACCATGTGTTGTTTATGTTTCATTAAAATACCAAATGGGATTGAGCTATGGATGATGGTGATGCAGCTAATTTATGAAAAATTGCCCCATGATATTGCTGACCGGCACGTGCTGTTAATGGATCCCATCATGGGGACAGGTACACTTCTCATGGATATAAAATGTCAGGATGTTAGTGTCAATTAAGTTAAGTTTTGAAAATTACGGTCCTGTACCCTTGCAACATGCCGTAAAGCATTTTCCACTAACGTTGCGGTGCTTAATCTCGCTTCATGCTGTTGCTTGACATTGAACAGCATTTGCAAATACGAATTCCACAAATCTGTGCATACTTTTGTAAACAACTTTCATTTTCCAACATGGACCTGTTACACTGGCTAGCGAAATGGTTAACGTAGTGCTTCTTGTGATTCTCTTGTAGGAAACTGCGCTGTTCAAGCCATTGATCTGTTGCTTCAGAAAGGCGTTCCAGAGTCTCGAATTATATTTTTGAACCTCATTTCGGTGAAGTGTTTCTGGATGCTGAAAGGATTTCTTTGGTTGGTCTTCTGTGCTATTCCGCACCACAGTTTGTAATTTATTAAAATCCTACTTCTGTTTACATCCAGGCTCCTGAAGGAATTCATGCAGTATGCAAGCGCTTCCCTCTGTTAAAGATAGTGACATCGGAGATAGACGCAGGACTAAACGACGAGTACCGCGTTGTGCCTGGCATGGGGGAGTTTGGGGATCGTTACTTCGGGACAGACGATGATTCAACCTGAGCGAATGTTCAAGGCTCCTTGTGAACAGCATTTCAGGTCTTTGAAGGGTTTACGGGACCAGTAAGGAGGTTATTTCCCCTCTTCAATCGCTTGGGATATTCTTGGGATGGAAGGTGACTTCGCAGTCTCTCCTTGTGGAATGTGTACATATATATATATATATATATTTTTTTTTTTCACTGGACATTTATTATTAGTTACTGGGGAATTGTGCAACCTGTGCTTAATGGGCACAATTTTTTTAGCGTGGCCAGACCAAGTCCATAAGTTTTTCTTTTATCTCAAATGAAGTCAATGCTATGCTGATGGTGACTTTCACAAACACTAGTTCATAACCCACAATTGAGAAATATGATGTCTCTTTGACCAATCACCTAGGCACAGTGAATCCCTTGAAAACAAAAAGAAAACCAGAAAGAAAAAAGAAAAAAAAGAAAGAAAAAAGAAAAAAAAAAAGGAGAAGAGACAAGACTGAGAAGAGGGCAGACCACCTCTCATAACTATCCAAGCATGGCCTCCAATTTGTAAGTAGTACAACAAGCATTGCTCATTGTCTTGTCACATGAATAAGCATGTGGGAGATCAGCATGCAGTGTATCTTGGACTTGGTCTAGCCTCACACTGAAGCTGTTTACACTTCCCCCTTTGACAATCTGAGAGTGTACCCACAGTTTTTTTTTCTTCAAGTTAGGTTGAGCTCAAGGTCCAAGACACAGATTGACAAAAGTGAAAGCTGTTCACAATGTGAGTCTTTCAACTCATTGAATCAAATCCAGGTTGGTCCAAAATTTCAATGCCCTTCCAGAAAAACATAAATGCATACTCTGACACTAGTGTTGGGGTGTGTAAGGAAGAGATGGAGCCTCCTCACATGTACAGTATGCTTGAAGCATAGAAAGGGACTCTGGACCAACTCCATGGGCTTAACTAGGCAGGTGTTTCAAGGAGGGTCTTCTTCATGAACAAGGTGAGCAATTGGCTGACACTGAACTGAAGCCCTTACAGACAGAGAGGAGTAGAGAGAAAGAGAGAGGAGAACAAGCATGATAGCAAACTTTGTCTTTAACTATATAACAGCAGAGATGGAACCAAATATATTTAAAGCTGGTGCCCATCATGTGGGTGAAACAAATGCCAAGCCATGGAGTTGGAAGGATAGTTGCTCTTCCAAGTACTACTGAAGTTTAATTGTTGCTTACTTGGTGGCCATTTTCTAGTGGGAGACAAATGACTTAGAAAATGATTTGGTACAAGTCTTATTATTATTATTATTATTTTTTTTTTTATATCTGTGGACTTACCTGTTAGTAAGGTCAAAACCAATGTATCAGAGTGTGTGTATATATAATTTTTCTTGAAAAGTGTACACAGATTTTAGTCACTTTCTTTGATAATTTGTGTCAGTGGTATTTGGTGAAAAGATTACCCATGGAACTTTTTTATGCATTTTGTATTGAAAATTTCTGTGAAACATGATTGTGTAATTTTATTTTTTATTTTTTTACTTTTTAAGATATTACGTTTTGATTCTTAACTGTATTGATACTTTGGGGTATACTCTTCTTGTGGAAGTAGTTTTCATGGGTACTGAATAGAATAATTAGATATTTTTTGAAGACGAAATTTCAATGAAATAAAATGCAGATAGTCCTTGTTAAATGGCAGCCTCAGTCCACCAAAGAAAAGTAATACTCAAATCTCATAGTAATTCAAGCTTAATATGTAATGTTTATGGACGTAATATTTGGAAAAGTTAATATTCCTTAGTAATTAATGCAGTTGTGGTTTCGTATGTTTTTTTAAAATTTTGGATTGTATGTATGTGGGTATATACATATATATATATATATATATATATAGAGAGAGAGAGAGAGAGAGAGAGAGAGAGAGATTGCAGCTAGACAAAACTTTATATCTAATTGGTTTTCTTCATCCACATCCAACTTTACATGCAAATACAAGAGGCACATTTGAATTTCAACCTGAATCTTGAAGATATGTCCCACACAACAATCCACTATTGACACACAGTAACCATTTTTTTAACAGTGTGTCAGAAAGCAAAAAGAAACTTGTGGTACATCAACAAAATAATAATAATAATAATAATAATAGTAATTGCATCAATTGTTTTGGGTTGCACCCACAAATTGCAGTATCTAATACTGCATTTTTTAACTACAAAAATCTTTAGTGACATTTTGGGCCACTGCATGTAATGGTTGATGATTTGTGAGCTTTGTTTCACTAGCATACTAACAACCCCAGAGCTCTATCCAAATAGCTCACACAACAGCACAGAAACTTAACACATGCAAAGCCAAACCCCTGAAACCACAAGTAATCCTTTTTTTGTTTTATTCTATTATAAATCCACTTTGCTGTATCACAATCGTGGAGACATGATAACCCACTTGTTGTTGTTGTTGTGTGTGTATATCTATATTTATATATTTATATATACAAACAACACACAAAAGCAAAGCAGGCAAAAGAGGTGGGGAATCATGTAGTGATTATGTGACAAAGAGTCCAGGAAACTGTGTCCACCTTTGACTTGTAGCCAAGGCAAGGCTACAAAGAGAAGGCATCAAAGAGCACTTTGAAGCAACATAGACAGTTCATATTATTCTTCATTTTCTTCTTCTGGTATCAACCAAGTGGCCAAATGTGGGAGTGGGATACCATGTTAAAAAGGTTCTTTTGCTACCACCACCACCACAGCTAAACTGCCCACCCATATGGTCAATACTTGTGTTGGAAGTCTTTGAAGTGTCATCAGATCTGTAGCCATTTTGTCATTTATGAAAGTGAGTTTTGTATTAATAAAAATAGACAAAAAGGAGAACAAACACACACGCATGGATGGAGTCCCTTGGACTGGCAGGCTCCCAAAGTCCACACAAGAGAGTGTGGGAGCATCAATGAAATTGATTGATCTGCTGGTAGGAATGAATCCATCTTACCTGGCATGACCTACATACAAGTTTCTAGGCAATTAGAAGGAAGGAAGGAGGTGGGGAGGGAGGGAGGCATATATCTATCTATATATATATATATATATAATAGTATTATTATTATTATTATTATTATGCCTTTGACCCATTTTCTAAATAATAACCCTATTTGACCTGTGCAAGGAGGGGTGATCACAGTTGGCATGGGAATTTGAAACAGAATTTCCTCTTAGCTGGCACCTTATACAGTGGCAATTTACAGGTGGCAAAGTGATTTTTATTTATTTATTAGTATGACTTTTTATTTGTTTTTTTACTGATTGGTTTATTTATTTTGAAAATAAATAAATAAAACCTGACCCCCTTGGAATTGATCATAGCTGCTTTGAGGTTGACCTTATATGGTTGACCTGAATCTTTCCAAACCGTGCATTGATGTGTTTAGAATTATCTATCTATCTATCTATATATAGATTTTTTTTGTATCATGATCTCAGAGTAGCCAATTCCATTAAGATTCATAAATTGGCCAAGATAGATTTTGGAATATATATTTAATTTTCTATTATTATTATTATTATTATTTTTATTGTTATTATGTTAGAATTGACAACTTGAAGATTTTTAAGTTGGTGATATAAATATTTTTTTTAAATCTAACCCAAAATTTATTAATTGAATTTTTATGTGAAATTGAGTTTTTATTTTAATGGTATGTCAACTTTCCTTTATTGCAGAATAAGGTTATTTAATTAAAAAAATCTTTACATTTAGAAACTATTTTTATCAAAATGGTCCAAAAGTCTTACAAAAATTTTCTACTTAGTGACAAAAAACTTTTCTTTATAAGCCTTGACTTTTGGAGATAGTATAAAGTAGGAAGAGGTTATAAAATGCATCAAATTATTTGTTTATCATAATTTATAATAAGATAGCTTATACCCTGATTTTGACAATTTTGACAATGTTGACAAATACAAATGCTTTTATTTTAGAATAAACTTATCGATGCAAATTCCAAGAAATGATGGTGTTTATACTATTCACTAAAAAGTGGACTCTATCTTTTTCATTTTAATCACAAGTTATTTATTTATTTATTTATTTATTTTTTAATCCAAGTAAAAGCCTATTAGAAAATGTTTCTCAAATTTATTCAATTACAACATTTGAAAGTTATGGCTTCTTTTCTTCTTTGTATAGCACTCAGATCTTCTAATACTAATTATTGATTAACTTGTGTATGGATATTTTTAAGTCTTTTCTATTGTGTAATACTTTTTGCTCTTTAAAGACATAAGTTGAATTTTTCGTAAAAAATCCTATATGGAAAATAAGTTACTAAAAAAACTACATCATATATTTAAAAATTCTATTTTATTAAATTTATATTTTTACTATTTTATTATTAAAAGATAAAATTGTGATTTTATATTTTTTTAAATAATATATTTTGCATAAATAAATAAGATGAATTTATAATAAAATTTAAAAGTGCATATTTTTTATATTAAATTAACCTAAATATAATCATATCTAATTTAAAAGCTTCTAATTTTCACTTCTTTGGTAAAATTAGATTTTAATCAATTATATTTGTTTGTTTTACAGCTAAAAATTGAATAAATACTAAAAATTTAAATATATATAAATATATATAAATAAATATGTAAATATATATATAAATATATATATATATAAAAATATATATATAAATATATATATGAATATAAATATATAAATATAAATATAAATATATATATAAATATAAATATATAAATATGAATATATAAATATAGATATATTAATATTAATATTAATATATATATATAAATATTAATATATTAATATATATATATATTAATATTAATATATTAATATATATATTAATATATATATATTAATATGAATATATATATTAATATATATTAATATGAATATATATA